CACATTTAAAATACAATTGTCCATGCTTAAGTGTGAATATTTCAGGGCAGCAGAGGAGGTTGATGGTTAAACACACACATCAGACCTACAGGAACACAGACGTGTTCCCCGATGTGACACACTGGGGCTGTTTATCCAGTGAGGTGGTATTTAAATAAATACCTGGCAAGGATCCTGGAAGACGGAACTAACAGTGTGAGTTTGGCTCTTCACGACTATCTTTAAAAGAAATCCTTTTCCTATTTATTTATATTGCATAAAGATATACAATATAGTGTTTGTACCTCAAAACCAAGAAGGCAAACAACCCAATAAAAATACTAAAAGATGAGCACATGGATATGCTTAGCATTGTTAGTCACCAGGGAAATGCACACTAAAGCCACAGGACACTCCAGGACACACACACTGGTGTGTCTTCACCCGGCCCCCTCAACACCCACCAGCGTGTCTAAACCCACCTCCCCAACACCCACCAGTGTGTCTACACTGAACCCTGGGGTGCTTAACCACTGAGCCACAACCCCAGACCTTTGTAATCATGTTTTTTTGTTTGTTTGTTTGTTTGTTTTTTGAGACAAGTTCTCATTAAATTACTCAGGGCCTCACTAAGTTGCTGAAGCTAGAATTCAACTTGTGATCCTCCTGCCTTAGTGTCTGGGATTACAGGCGTACACCACCACACCCGGCTCGGAAGCTGCATTTCAGACAAAAAAAAAAAATATCATCATAAGTCGAATCAATAGAATCACTTAGCTACAAGTTTCCTGTCATCAGTATTTAATATGTGTGTTGCATATTTTTCCACCTAAATTACATGTGTGTGTGTGAGTACACGTATGTGTGTGTGCGTGAGCTGTCATTATTTCAAAATTTTTGCAATAATTGTAAAGTTGCAGGGAAACTGACAAACATTAGAAAATCAGGACTTATAAAGTGTCAGTGTTAGAAAACAGATCTATAAAGATAGAGATACACTGTAACATGAATCCAAAGCCACACTCCGTGAAGACTGGGAGGAAATGTCACTTTTATATATATTTATTTTAATTGTAGATGGACACAATACCTTTATTTTATTTGCTTATTTTTATGTGGTACAGGGGATCGAACCCAGTGCCCATGCATACTAGGCAAGTGCTGTACCACTGAGCCACCACCCCGTCCCAGGAAACATCACTTAATGCTCTGACAAGAAGCAGAGCCAGCAGGCAGTAGTGGGAGTGGGGTCCAGCCCTAGAGGGGCCCCCTCAGTGGAGCCCAGGCTGGGACCTTGGGAGTCTGGTGCTCACCCCTGGCCGTCGGTGGTAGGGAGGTGCATAGGCTGTTTGGACCCACCAGAACCAGAACACTGGTGTGGTCACAATCCGTAAATAGCACCTCTATTCCAGCCCTCGACCACGTCATCTCTGACATCTAAAGCCACTCAAGAGACAAGGCGTGGGAAAAGTCCTTGGAAAAGTCCTTTTCAGCACGCAGGCACTTGGGCGTGCATTTCAGGGTGGCGGAGCGGTGGCTGCTCAGTGCAGACTCTGTGGGCATGGCCCCTCTGCCACACCAGGGCACCTGAAGCAGCTTGGGAAATGTGACTTCCCAGTGCAGAACACCAACCTCAGCCCTTGGTGGCCTCTGAGCTCCTTTGAAGCACATTAAACTTAGGATATTAGTACTGGCTGCCTCTGAGCCCCCTGAGGCCAGGAACTGGTCTTGTTTATCTCTAAGCTCAGCACATGGCACCTGGCACGTAGTAAGTGCATGTGGACAACACATGGCACAAATCCTCTCGCACCAGAATTTCCAAGCTGGCTCATGGACCTGGGCTTTCCCATTGCCTAGAAACTTGTCGGAGACTCAGCACCTCCAGTCCCGCCCAGACCTATGGAACCAAAGCCTACATTTTCACCAGACCCAGGGGGATGCATGTACCCATGTAGGTTTGAGAAGCACTGTCCCAAAGTGATGCAGGATCAACTAGACCTTACCAGGTTAACGGTTGTTCCTGGCAGTCCTGGCTTCCTGAGCAGAGCTTAGATAATGAGGTCTGAGGGAGGCGTGGAGCAGATGGTGATACATGGATGGCTGTGCACACCTGAGGCCACCCCACCGTACACCAACAACGGGACTCTGGGGAGTGCAGCTGCAGGCTTCCATTGCCAACCTGGACATGGGAGGTTGGTCCCATGTCCAGTGGTATCCTGCATTTGGATAATTAAATGCCAGACACGCCCTCTCCACTGCGGTGTCTGCCAACACCACCCTGCCACAGCCACCACACCAGTTCTATCAGAGGCTGAGCCATGAGTCCGACCCATAACCTGTAGGTCTGCATGTTTGTTTGCAACTTGTGTCATTCCAAAGTGCATTTTGTTTTTACATGCACACACACACATGCACACACACACAGGTTCAAATTTAGAATGAAACCTGAGTACCTTCTGGTATCTCCAGTTGAGCTCCACAATGTGACCTCCTCATGTGGTATTAATCTGGAATTATTCAATTCTTTTGCTAGTCTACTTTAGAATTTCGAGTTGGGTGTAAAGCTTCTCTTAGGGACCCTGAGCCATGTGTTTGTACCCTATTTTCCTTAGAGCGATGCAAGTTCTGTGGCCACACAGCTCTTGTCTGGCATTGCGGTGTGGAATTCTCCACATCCTAAATGCCGACCCTGGAGAATGTTTAGGTCAACATTCACAGAGATGGCTGTTCCCCATCCTTCATCCAGAGGGGAGAATGCAGTCAGGTGGAAACATGGACCCAAATACTCAGATTCCCAGTCCTGGTTCATTTAAGGTACATGCTGCCTCCAGCATTGTGGACCCTCTGGGAACAGGAATCTGCTTCCCACACTTGGCCACAAGCAGTCCCCTGAGCCTTCCCAGCTGGGGGACTCGAAAGAACTCATCCAGGGTGAGATGTGGAGCTGAGACCAGGTGACTGCCATCTTTAGAAGCAAGTCAGGAAGAGAATCATAGGACCTGAACAGCACCAGCAGGGAATTCCTAGATGCATCTCTGGCTGCCTTGGTCTGTGACATGGCCTCTTATCCCTTGAAGAGTTTTGCACAATATCTTGAGTGTAAGAGTGTTTAGTGAATGTTTATTAGGTTCAAAATCTCTGGAATATTTTATTTGGATTGGCATTTACATCTTATGCTTGGTGTCGCTAGCCAATTGCTTCATTAATATTAAACAACAGTAATAAAAAATCATGCCATATTTTGAGCCTTGACTTCAAAGGTGAGAGCAGGTGACGATGAAATCCTGGATTTATCAAGAACGAAACCAGAGAATCGATTTTTAAACACTGAAAATATTGATGGAAATTTTATTTTTATTTTTAGAACCAGCATTTTAAAAAGGAAGGATGATCCCAGATTTTCTGACCACTGAATTCATCCAAATAGGCCTAAAATCCCATGCCTGGTGAGCATGGTGGCTCAGAGGTGGCTCACTGTGCTGTGTCGCGGTGTGGATGGCACTGGAAGTCTCTGTACTTAGTCCTGCTGTTCTGATCCAGGGAGAAGCGTAAGTCCCAACTGATGATCTAATGTCACATGAAACCCAGGGCACAGTTTTGCCCCTGCCCTTCAGGTTCTTCTTAGAAGAAATCACCTCCTTTGCAGATGCCCGCCTTGCTTCGTGTTCACCTTCCCTAAGTTCCTCAGGGCTGCGTCTCTTCCCCTCAGTGGCTCTGAGCTACTTGTGAGGTACTTCTCCATCTCTCAGGGTTTCCCTTCTGAGGCTGAGCTGAAGCCGCGAGTGACCTTGCCCTTCCCCTCCGAGGGTGAAGCTTTGGTCCCACCCTTCCCCAGCCTGGCACATCAGAGAGGCACTGGGAGGGCAGATGCAGGGGAAATGGGCACCAGTTCAAAGCCAGCCCCGAATCTCTGGCCTTCCCCTGCTTCCTGAACCCCAGCTGTGGAAGGGCCTGGGTGCTACTCTGCAGGGAGACCAAGCCCAGGGCCCAGCCTGCACAGAGGCTCCCACGCTGGACAGCCCCAGGACAGGGGCTGAGCGCACAGATACTTGCCTGGCACTTGAAAGCATTTATCAAACTGGTATGTCACGGACACACGGACAGTGTTGAAGACTGTCCCTGTGTGTCTGCGACATACCAGTTCTGCAAACACGGGATCACTGCTCACCTTCCCCACGGTGGTGTGTCATGCCGTGAGACTCCACCAATGAGAGGCTGCAGGTCTGACTCTGCAGACGCTGCAGGCACCAAGCCCCTTGCAGCATCTACTCCGTGGAAAAGATCCACAGTCTGAGCTCAGGGATTTACAACAGGAAGGACCTCAGGGCAACGGAGCGGACCCTCCTCCCATGACGAAGCTCCTTTGCAGGCCTTGGTCTCTTGGCTCTGTGGAAGAGCCCAACTTCAATCAAAACCGTGTTGTTCTTTGCCCGAAGGTGACTGGCATGAAGCAAATACTGGGTTTCAAACATGGCACAGCCCAAGCTAGGGAAATGCATGGTGAAGCGAACCAGAAGGAGGCACATCTGGGCTACAGATTTTATCCTGCAATTATTTCTCTGTGCGGATTTTGAGCAAATCTCTTCATGCTTCTAACACGGAGCTGCCTCACTAGACAAGAGTCTAAATGACGATTCCTGGCCACAGGAGGCCTGGTGCATCCAGGCAGGACTCGGGCAGGACTCCTTTCTGTGGAAAAGGCTGGGGCTGTGCTGGTGGCTCCCTACTGCCTGCTCGGGATGTGCAGAGGATGTGGGGTAGGTTGCAATATTCCCCTGGGCACCGACATCTTTTCTTGAGTTTCTTATGCTTCCTTTACACAGCTGTAAAGTCAGGCCAACTGGCTGGTCACAGAGCAATTTCCAACATGCACAATTACGTTAATTTTGAGCAAGCCTGGTGGGAGGAGTCCCGGGTTTGGACACAGTCAGTGGAGCTGAAGGCACACATGCTTCTTAGATCCATGAAGACACAATCTTTTTTTTTTTTTTTTTAAGTGAAATTGAACTCTGGGGAATGTGACCTAGGTTTACAGGCAGAGTGTTTATATCTCTCCTTCAGCAACTGACCTGCTGATGTCTCGAAGCGTCTGATCCGAATGCACCTCGACACTGGTGGGCAGCGGCAGTGCTTTCTCTACCAGCCCTTCCCCGTCGGCCTTGCCCCGTGAGGTTGCCAGGCCAGCTGCCACATGGGCGCTGCTTCTGGCTCACCTGCAACCGCAGACGTGTGAAATCTTACTTTGCCCACGTATTCTCGAAGATTTGTTTTTAGCCATTTCAGCATATATTTGCTTATCCTGAAAAGAAAACGCAGGGTGATGGTTGCTTTGTCTTTGAAACATCTTTTTTAAAAAATGTCCTACCCAGATACCCTGTCTCAGCAGAGCCCATAGTCCTGGAGGAGACTGGGCACAGAGAAGGGCTTGGAGGGGCACAGCCAGCTCCATACTTGGGTGCCAGGGTCTACACAGTGCAGCCGTCGCACAGCCCCAGACTACATTTCTCAGAGGGTGAACCCCACTCAGAAATAGGAATGGACCTTCGTGAAGTCAGGAGCAGGTCAGCTGAGGCTTGGAAAAGGATATTTGTGGGTCATGAATCAGAAGAGCCGGTCAGCCTGGTGGGTCCCTTAAAGCTCACAGGTAATTTCTTTCACAAAGCAGATCACATTAAAAGTAATAGTAGGGGTAAGCATCATCAAATGGCAAGATCTCTTGGTATCCTGCCAGATCTCACGGCGGAGAGGTGGACACAGGTAGGAAACTCCAGGAGTGGCCCACTCAGGCCCACCTCCCACCTGGCCAGGCCTGCTCGGCTGGACCAGGCCCGGAGGAAGACCCGCAGTGGTCTGGAACTGAGAGAGTGCAAGGCCGATTGCCAGCTCAGGAATGGCAGCCAGCTTTCCCATAGGACCATGTGCTCCAAATCCAGTGGTGGGTTTTCAGGGGGCAGAGGGTGGGGCAGGTCCCCAATGGAAACAGTGCCCGAGGGTGTGGGAGGAGCTCTCCTGGTTGCCACAGCCTGCAGCCCCCCCACTTCCTTCTCTCTCTCTCTCTGTCTCTCTCTCTCTCTCTCTCTCTGTCTCTCTCTCCTTCACTTTCTTTTCTTTTCTTTCCTTTTTTTTAAAAAACTCTATTTTTAGTTAAAGTACCCAGTGTCTCTGTTCGGTATGGCAGAGAACTGTGATTTAGAAACACTGCACAATCTCCCCTGTGTTCCAACAGGGCGGCTTCCCCGTAGCTGGGCTTCCATTTGGCTCCATCAGAAAGTGGGAAGGCCCCACGTGGATGTTAGTGGTCACGTCACTGGTGGAGGGACCAGCGGGTCTTTGTCTTTTGACACCTCTCACAACCTGGCCAGAAGCCAGGGGTCATCAGGCCTGTGTAGTTTTACTTTATCCATGGATCAATATCAAAAAGTAAGGGTGGGCAAGGCCCTTCAGAGTCTTGGATGTTTTGAATGCTTCTCATACCAGTTAAAAGATGATTTTTATCAGTGACCTTTGTGGACTAACTCTGCAGTAAACAGGAAAATATTCAGCCACCATGAATTATGTAATATTGGAATTGTCTAGACAGTGTTTGGAGGGCAGCAGATGGTGCATATTCTTGGAGAAGCAATTTAGCAATCGGATTCTGAGCAGGGTGTCTCCACATCCCCCTGCCACGACCCCTCCGTCCCCTCCCTTCCCCTTTGGCTCCCAAACCCCGTGATCCCCAGACACAGAAGGATTTATGTGGAGTCCATACGCTTTCCCCTTTCCACTGATTTAGCAATGTGCTCCGAGTTGGCTCATTTGTGGTATTTCTCTGTCTTCCTGATGTTGGGGTAAGGTTTTAATAGAAGCGTCGAGCACACAGCAGGCAGAACTAGTGACTGCGCGGTTTCTGCCCTGGTGCCCCTACCTGCAGCATGGGGAGCCAAGGAGCAGGGCGCCCCGGAGATGGTCCTCAGTCTTCAGAGGGGGCTTTACTCCTCCCAGGATGGAAACCAGGCTGCGTCCTGAGACTGTCTTGAGCACAAGTCCATGGGGGACAGAGAAAGCTAGGCAGGAGAAAGGCAGACCAGATAGCTCCATCCTTACATGCAGAGACCCCTGGCCAGAGCCGAGGAGGGAGAGACATGGAGACCATAGTCAGCTGAACTTTCCTCCTGGTGAAAACAAAGCAAAATGAAAGTGAGGTCTGGTGAAGCTAAAAGAAAACATGAAACACGGATTGGAAAGCTTCCGCAGCAGGGAGGAGCGCACATCCAGAATGGCGTCTGGTAGGAGGCCCTCAGAGGGCCAAGCACAGAAAGCCAAGGGAGACCAGGACCCTTGGTGCTGGGTGGTCAGGGGTCACCATTTGGGAGGTGGAACTTGAGCTGATCCTTGAGGGCCAAGTCTAGAAGACAGAGGGGAAGAGGACCACTGGGCAGACCGGAAATCCTGTTGGGGTAGCCCAGGCAGGCTGGTAGAGGATGAAAGAACATGGTGGGGGCGGGTGCTGCTGGGAGTCAGGCTTGGGGTGTGGGTGCCGATATGTGCCTTGTGAGCTCGGCCCTCCTGCCACCTGCGTGACCTCCAGGGTACGCACCTGGGCAGTGCACCTGCCGCCAGCGCCATTGGGGGAATTTCTGGCTCTCCCAAGGGCGTCTCAATTGGGCTCCCCTAGAAGGAGTCTGAGACAGGATTTGTCCATCTGGAAGGTCAGAAAACAACAAGCACAGGGTGGGGCAGCCAGTAAAGCAGGAAGGATCTGCAGGGCCACGTGCTTGGTGACAGCAGGCGGGGAAGACCATGCATCTTCAGAGGAGCCAGACACCTGGCACAGCTCAGGCCCACGAGAACCTGAGGAGTTCTGATGGCTGAATGAGGACCGGGGTCAGCAGAGCAGGTTTCCCTAGTGTCTTCCCAATGGGATGTTTCCTGTTGTCTTTTCCTTCAGACTGGATCTCCGGGGACCCCCATCTAGACGGGAGAGCTTCCGGCACCCCAGGTCAGGCTGCGTGGGAGGCTCCTGCCCCGGGATCTCCTGCCCCAGGTACACCCCCGTGGAAGAGGCTAGTCCAAGGCAAGATGGGCGGGGAGGAGTCCCCTCCTGGGATCTCACCCTCCCTACACGGGCAAGAAAGGAGACTGACGGGAGAAGGTGCCACAGCAGCTCAGTGAGGAACGCATTTGGGGACATTATTGGAAAATGAAGCCTCTGAGTAGCTATTTCTTGGAAAGTCTTTAGAAGAAATGTAATGATTTATCAATTCCAGGGACAGTTGTCTTTGGTCCACCACCTGCTCTTTCTCCACTGGGAAGAAACTCGGTGTTTTCTGGAAAAAAACCATGCTGACATGGTTTGAGAAATGGAGAAGGCACTAAACAAGGCTTGTTTCTCTCATTCTATGTCCCTTTTAAAAGGATGTGTGCTATTTAATTAGTAAATTCAATTAAAATTGATTGAGAGCCCCCAGACATCGTGGGATTGGGTTTCTTCTGCAGCCTTCTCACCTTTCAATGCTTGGAAATCGCCCGCTGCAGGGCGGCTGACAGAAACGTTAGCAGGGTCTTGATGGGATTGTCTGAGAGAGCAAGCAGCAGCTCTCCTCGGGGGCCTGGAAGAGACGGCCTCACCTCCCTGACCAGCAGGGCAGACCTCCCTCTCTCTCTTCTTTCTTTGTGCCCTGGACTCAGAATGGTGATTCGCCAGTCCAAGGGCTCGTCCTCATGTGCATCTAAGAGGACCATATATGCTTATTGAGACTCCGACTCAGCCAAGGTGTTTCTGTGGGATAGAATGAGGAGGCAGAGAAGGGGTGCCAGATGCACGGGTGAGCTCTAGTCCTCTGGTTATGGTTTAGACAGACCACTGCCCTCGCACGTTCACCAGCACAGCTCTAAGTTACCTGTGCAGCTCACAAATGAGTTGACCTTGCTGACTCAGAATAGAAATTGAGAGAATATGAAAAGATGTAAGTGTACATGTATACATATGTATGTATGTATATGCACACACACAACTTATATTTTACTAGTTTTCAATATAACTTAAGGGGATATGCTGAAAAATGGATATCACCTAAAGGACTTCATAATTTGTACTACTACCCAGCAAAAACACCCTGAAAGTTGTTTTCCCCCTATATTGAGGGGCTGTAAGAGAAAGAATGCAGACTTGAATCTTCTGGAGTCCGAGCAGAGGCTCCATGGGTCACTGAGGACAGTGATCAATGGTCTGTATTTCTTGCTTTCTTCCTTTGAATTTGAGCTCCATTTTTTTATGGTACTCTCCCTCTACACTGCGTAAACACCTCCCAGCTGTCGAGCGGAGCGTTTCTTTATGCTGCTTTGACTGATGCTCACTGGGTGCTGAGGTTCCAGGCCACCCACCGGCCTGCTCCAGAGGCTCTAGGGGAGGAGGCAACGGGTCACTCGCCAGGCCTTCCCCCTGGGGCCACTGCTCCTCCACCTGGTTCCGTCCTGCTTCCCTGCAGTTTGGGCCTCTGCTCCTGCCCGGGTGATTACAGCTCTGGACAGGACTGGACCCTCTTAACTGAGGCAGCCTGCTTACGGGGCTTGGCTGGGACTTTCTGCTTTCCGCTTAGCAACTTCCAGAAGGAGTGCTTCTTAGGTCCCTCCAGACAACCTTTCCCGCCCCCGGTGTTTGGGCCGGGGTCCTCTCCTCGGTGTTCACAGGCCCGCCCTGCCTGTCCTCTTGGGCCCAGGTGACCGCCCCTCGACGACGTGCATTCCTTCCCCATGAGTCTCCAGGAATGCATGCTGTCCTCTCCCAGTCTTCCCTGCCTGACCACAGAGCAGCCGACGGCAGGGCCCTGTGAAGAGGAATGGAGTCAGCAGGTGCCGTGTGCGGTCAAAAGTCCCCTCGTACGTGTTCATGCAGTGGGGCTCCCGGCCCAAAGCTTCCAAGCGAGGTTTGGCAGATCAATAAACGTGTGTCAAACAGGCAGAGCCTTCCAGGAAGAAAGCAGCACACCCAGAAATGCCAGCTGTGGGGGACTTGTGAGCCAACCTCCACCTCCCCAACCCAGGTGAGAGCAAGGTGGGTGCAGAGGGGTGGGCAGAAATTGCATTGCCCAGGGCTCCCCAGAGGTGCCTGCAGGAGACTCCCTGGTTCTCTGGGGGCACTAATGAGAGGAGTCTCCAGGCAAGCTGTCAGTCTGGAGGCTCCCAGGTGAGCCTCTGTGGATTAGCGCCACATCTCCTGGAGGAGCTTTTCTTTTGCCCAGGGCTGGCCAGGGAACCCAGGTTCCGGTGCACACCAGAGAGTGCTCCACCACTGAGCCACACCCCAGCTCCCTGGGGGAACTTTCTAGCCATGGGCCTTCCCAGATCCCTGCTTCTGATCCAGTAGGTCAGTGCAGGACTCCCCCTGTCACTCAACAGACAGCACTGGTGAGGCACCTAGGCCAGCTGGCTTTCCCACGTCATGGAGGTGGGGAGCAGGGGGTTAGGGGTGCCACCCAGTGCCGTGTGCTCAGGAGGGGAGAATGCAGAAGCGATTCGCTCCTGCCCCCTCACTTCCCTGGCACCGTCCTTGGCAGCCATAGGACCACTAGGAGAAAGGCAGATGAGCAGAGAGGCTGGGCACAGGTCTGCCTCAGTCTGCCAATGTCATTTTGCCTTTACTGTTGGTAATTGCGGTCACGAAGTTGTGTCTGTGGGACCCCCAGCTCCCTCTCTAGGGCGCGGCTCCACCCTGGCTTTGAGATTCCAGTCGGGTTTCTTCCAGGTTCCCAGGGGCCTCCAGGTGCCTTGGCTCGGCGCGTTTTCCTGGGATCTGGTGTATTCTTCAGGAGCAGCACCTTCCCGGTCCCCGTACCCGCAGGCCCTTCCTGGCACTGGGAGGGAAGGGGCTTTCCCAGTGAGCGGACGGCAGCCAAGAGGCCTGGATGCTGTCCCCAGGCCAGCAGCTGGCTGCCTCTGCGCCGGGCCAGCCCTCTCGCCTTTTGTCTGTGCGCGGGGCTTTGTGAATCTCCTGGCAACGTGCTGGTGCCTGCGACTCGGGCAGCCCTCTCCCTTCTCTCCCTGTCATGTGCACTCACCCAGAAAGACGGCAAAATGGCTCCGTCCTCTGCCCCTCCACGGCTCCACCGCACCGAGAGGGCTGCTCAGGCAGACGCTTTACTCCCAGAGAATGCTTGATCATTTTCCAAATGACTGTCCCCTGTGTTCCCAGCATGGAGACCTTGGGGTCTGCCCCTGGGAATGCACAGAGGGAGGAGTGGGAGTGGGTGGCATTTGCTGCAGCCCTTGGTGACACAGGCTACGCGGTCAGGTGGCTGCACTGCTTCCGTCCACCAGCCACAGTGGCTTCCTTCCACTCCCCATCAGCTCTTGGAAAACTGTATTTCCCAAGAGCTGATGGGGAGGCCAGGTTTGGGGGAGCCTGTCCTCTGTTCAGTCCTCGAGGCTGAGGCTTCGACTCCCTCAGAGCTTGGGACCAGCCGGATGGTACTCTGAGCACCCCAGGCAGGCAGGCACTCACCCGCCTTAACCCTCGGGCCCACCGCAGGCAGCTTGCAGCCACCCTAGATTTGTTCCCCGGGCTCCTCAGTAAGTTCATCCTTTCTGCCCTTTTGTCTTGGGGGATGTTTCAAAGCAATAGGAGATGACTTTGCAGTCTGGAGACCTACGGTCGGTTCTCTCTCAGAACTTCATGAGCCATGTGATCCTGTGGAGGCAATAACAATAACACAAGGCTAGCACAAGGGGCCAGTGCCCTGCAGAAGCCCAGTTCCTAAACCCCAGAGTCCTGCATACAAACAGCCACGAGGCACCAGCCGCGTGGCTGCTGCCCATGACTCTTCCACAGCGCTAACTTTAACAATGTTCCCTTAGTTTAAGGTAAACCCAGAGTCTCTCTGTAACTCTGAAACAGCATTTGGGTCTCATTGCAATTTCTACCACTAACAGCTTCCTCATGGGGGATTCCTCAGGAAGGCACAGTAATCACTGCTAAGAAGTCAAGTTGGACCACTTTCAACGATTTAGTCCTACATCCAGAGCTACATTATTACAGCTACACTTTTATTGTCCCAGGTTATGTGTTAAATAAAAACTGTATATGTACTTTGAACTGAACTATTAAAAATTTGCCTGTGGGTATTGGAATGAAATTGTATTTTCCAAGAGCAAACTTTGATCAAAAGGCAGGATT